TGGAATTTTTAATGGTATTAATTTTAGTAGAAACGTTAAAAAATGTAGTTCAAGAATTGCACAAAAACTCGTTCGCTTGGCGTGTGTGAATCATAGACGAGTTTCGGTTTAAGTATGTCTTTGTTAAGCCACTGTGCAGTCGTAAAATCAACTATTAATCACAATTACAATTAGTCGAACATTGTAATGGCTCTAAGTTACGAGTATTTATATGCCTTCCTTCACGTACTAACTCATGTTGCTTAATATGGTTGAAAATGTCGGTAAGCTTGCGAAATTATCATAAATTAATATTGATTTGTGGGATCAATCAAAAGAGGAATTAGCAAACAAAGAGCTTTGAATAAAATCTACATATGTATATCTGTACGATTTTGGTAGTAGGAGCAAACAAAGTTGGTTGAAATCATTATTTGTTCTAGTTATTTTTGGATGAAGAGCATATGGTTGGTTTAGATTGACCGATCAATAATGATCTTAAATCTGTTTCAAGTTTAGTCTTTGGGAGGATCACCTAACCCAGCTGATCTTAGAAAAAAGAAACCTTTAAAATTAGCAACCAGCCAGCTTATTTTGCGGTGCAAGCTATTTTTTCCATTACTGCCAACGATTCTCCAAATAAATAGAAATTTTCGAAATATTGTACGAGTATACAATCAGCTTTTTATTTGGAACTTCAGCCGATCGTTGGGCTTTCGATTATTTCACTAATTTTGTTCAAAAACGGCTAGGAGCGTACATTTTATACCGAAACGAATAATTTTTTTTAAACGCCTTCAATTCTCATATAAAAATGTTAATTCTTCGTGATCCAATTAACGGATCCAAATTAGGAAAAAGGATTATAAAAATCGGTTAATGTGATCCAAAGTTATGCGCTAACATACATTAAAAAAAAAATAAAAATAAAAAATTCCGACGAATTGATAACCTCCGCCAAACCAAAATTTATATATGCATGAAAAACAGCTTCTCGTAAAAATACAATCGCCGTTCACAGTCTGCATAAAATTGTAAGTCCTTTCCCTGTGTGACAACATCAAGGCGCACTCCACAAATCGGAAGAGAAGCTCGGCGAGACCAACATATCATTATTATCATAATCCATAGGTCCGCGCACAATCGTTGTATTTTTACGCGCTTGACTGCATACATATGTACATTAGACCGTACCACTTCACAAGCGAGCAAACAAAAAAAAAAAATAATAAATCGCCGCACTCCCGCTGGTGGAAAGAATTTTTGTGCGGCAATTTCTCTCTGATGAAGCGGCTTTTGGAGTTTTCGAGAGAAAGATTCTGCGCAAGATTTACTGGCCTTTGAGCGTTGGCGATGGCGAATACCGCAGACGATATAGACATAGTGCAGCGAATCAAAATTCACCGGCTACGCTGGCTAGGTCATATCGTTCGAATGGACAGAAATGCTCCAGCTCTGAAAGCATTCAACGCGAGTCGCGATGCTGGAAACAAAGGAAGTGGAAGGCCTCCTCTGCGTTGGAAAGACCAGGTGGAAAAGGACTAGGCTTCCCTTAGTATTTCCAATTGGCGTCAATTGGCACAGAAGAGATACGACTGGCGTGCTGTTTTGGACTCGCCTAAAATCGCTTAGGCGGTTACAGCGCCAATAAAGAAGAAGAAGAAGACTTTCGAAAATAAACAAATTTTTTGCCTGTGAAACCTACATTCGGCAGTAATTTTTTTTTTTTTTTAAATACTCGTACTCATACTGGAATTATCGAAATACTGCCTTAGCAATAGTTTAATGATTTTTGATGGGATTTAATATAACAACATTGGGCGAGGTATTAAAATGGCGTTCTTGAGGCCAGTGAACTTTGGAACAAAAAAAGTGTCTCCTCGAGAGTAGAACATCGAATACCATACTTTGAGATCCAACTGTAAATGCCGAAGATATGACTGAAAATGTAAGAGAACGACCACTACGATCGGCCAAAAAAAAAATATGTGCGTTGCCAGTAGGAGCTTCGTTTTGTCCTCGTTAGCGGTTTTCGACCAACCACTTTTACCTACTGCTCTACGCTGGAAATTGCTATACTTACTAGCCTGCTGTTGTACCGCTGCGGCCGATATCAATGTCACCTGCATATGCTAAGCTACAGTCTTTCACAAATCGTCGCGACAGGACGCATCGATAGGACATTATACGCAATTTTTATGCATTATACGCAGAGTAAAATCTCTCTCGCCTAAATATATACAACATCTCCATAGAAACAAAACTTCTACTTCATGCCACTGATTTTAAATACCATTCTGAATAGCCACTTTCATTTTGCATACTTTTAGGCACATTTGTTATTGAATTTTTATGAGAAGCTCCGAGGTTTGCCATTGCCTGCCCAGGGGCGACCGCCATTCGAAAAAACGTTTTCTTTCGTTTTGTTTTGATGCTAGTTGGAAACTTGGCTCGATCCTAGTCCCTGCAGAATGGTAATGCGTATTTCTAACCACTAACGACCAAAGCTTATAATGCCACTAGAGTATTCATTTTCTCCAAAGATCAAAACTCGAAGCTTTTAGTTTGTTTAGATGCCGAAAAGTAGGTTTCAGCTATAGCAGTAAATCCAGATTTTTTTTTAACCTACTGTTTTATACACATTTTATTTTAGGCTCATAACTAATATGAGATGTATTATGTGTATTAGGCTGGGTCGGGAAAAAAGTTTGAAAGTCCACTTTTAGAGAACTTTGCCACTGAAAACAGCAAAAAGACATTTTCTTCATAAAGCTTTTGTTTTATCCGATTTCGAAGTACGAAATATCGCTGAAAAGGTACGCTTTTACTTATTTTTTGAATACTGTTTATATGTACATAACTTGAAGATCGTATTGACTTTTAGCTGAGCCATTAGTCAATAAAACTATGTTTCGATTACCGGAACTGACCGAAAATTTTAATGGTTGAAAAGCTCACATGATGTAAGCTTTTGAACTAGCGTTGTTTGTTGGTTTAATTACAAAGTTTTTTTCTTATGGAGACTGAGCCAATATTATGCGTATACTCCAATGGAAAACGAAGTCTAAGAATGGAATAAATAGACTATGTAAATTACAAATTTAGTAGAGCAAAATGCTTCTACTTGTACTTCCTTTACATGGTGTTTCCACTACCCACAAATTACTTAATTTTGATTCTCAATTTCACACAAGTTGAAACTCGCCAAATTGCGATCCGTATCGCAATTTCGGATGGAACTAAGAATAGTGCCTGAATTGCGCAATTTGGGGTCGGTCGTGGAAACACTATTAACTATTGAGTGAGTTCCGCGTATGAAGCTTACCTACCTTGTATACGAGTATAGGAGTATAATCTGGCATATTTATTTTCCATTATTTTACAAACAATTGACTTAAGTATCTATCTTCTACCGCAAGAAATTCGATTGAATTTCAAAATTGCAATGCCTCGTCTGTATGAGCATTTATAAATCGCCAGTAAGTTAAACAACTATCTATGTATGCATGTACATATTTAGATACACAATTTCGTATATCTTTCATGGAAAAAAAATATTAACATTTTTATTTCCTTCTTCGGCATTGCAAAATTCCCAAAAGAAAATTGCTAAAGACTACCAGAAGCAGTTTATAGATCACCCCATTCGCTAACGCGAAAATTGCCTCAATTAACGTTTGAATTCGTCATGCATTTGTCGTTTAGCGGTAAAAGTGGCTGTGAAAATTTGTATGTACATACATATGTACATTAGGATGTCTCACTAGAAAAAAGTCGTGGTTTTTCCTTCGGAATTATAAAATGTATTATATTTTATATCTGGAAATACTATTAAGGTTTAGTTGAGCTGTACCTGATTTGAAAAGACCTCCAAAAATCCTGTTTTTTTATAAATAAAATTAGTTTTTAAAAATGATTTTTTCAAAAAATCACCTCGGTTGATGAAAGAGTTTAGACTTGAAAGATCTGAATTTTATCAAAGAAATCAAAATAATGCGATTTTTAAGGTATTTTCAAGTTTCAAAATATTTTGGCGCAAGTTTTAAAATATAATAAATTTTATAATTCCGATGGAAAACGGATGACGGTACTAATTTTTTTGTATGGAGAGTGTTGCACCCTAATCTGCATACGTCAGTAAAAGCGCAATCAGCAAGACAATGCTGACGAGTAACGCGTGGAACGCGAATGTGCTGCATGAAAACTTTTTAAGTGTTTCCTGCTGCTGGGGCAGCTTTTGGGCAAAGTTGTTGCAACAACATACGAGCAGATAGATATTTGCTTAAATACATGTTCATATGTGGAGTATACTTATTGCTGGCTGAGGAAAGCAAAAAAATATAAAAATAAAACTAAAGTAACAAAGACATAATTTCGCGATTTTTTAAGCACTCATACATTTTTTTGCATACAGATACTATTTATGTGATATACATAGATACGTATGTATGTATGTAGGTATGTGTGCCTTACAAAACTTATATCACCTTCATCTATCTATTCGACTGCCAAGTAGGAAATAAATTTTTACATTTTCACTCTCGACAAATAACATGATTTTTCGTTTATTTACTTTTGTTGTTGTTTTTTTTCTGTATATTTCTTTCTTTAACACACATACATGCAATTTCATAGGCCTGCATGCATACTTTTTGCTACGTACATACTACATAGTTATTTACAAATTATGAAATACCGAAAATAGAGTGGCGAATAAATCAGCTATGAGAATGTATGTGTGTGTAGATATGTACATATGTTTATAAAAAAGCAAACTAAAGAAAGAGTAATAGAGGCGAGTAATGAAAAAATAGGAGCAATTAAAATTTAATAGACCAGAATAAAATCGTCAAAAATATACATATATATATAATTAAAATTAAATCATGTCAGGTAAAATGAAATTTGTACATATGGACAAACGCGCGTGCGCTACTAAATATAATGCTAGAAACAAAAAAAAAACTAATAATAACAAAACAAAAATAAAGCTTATATAAGTGTGTATGTTGTATGTACATATTTATGTATGTATGTATGTATGCATTAACATAACATATAACTAAAAGTGTAACTAGAGCATTGCCACTGGCAATACGCCCCTCGCTGTGGGTGAGCGCCCAACTCCCCCCTCTACTTAATACCAGCCGCCCTTGTGGTAATCATGATGATCTTCCTCAATGTGATGATGTTCCTGCTCGTGATGTACATGCACTGGCACGTGCACTTCCTTAATCACTGGCACATGCACTTCCTTATAGATTGGTACATGCTTGATCACTTCCACCTCCTTAATGACCTCTTTGACGACGGGCACCTTCTTGATGTGATGATGGTGAATGGTGTGCACCTTGTAGGGTACATGGATGGTGTGGTGTTCGCTGTAAGGTAAGGGGGGGAGGGGAAGAGAGTCGATTAGTGAGCAATAGGCAATTAATGCAAAAGAAGGATATATGCAAAAATAAGTCAAAGCTTGCAAGGAGTCAGCAAAAAAAAAAAAACAATTCAACTTTTTTAGTTTGATTATCTGATGAAGTGTTTTAATTACACAGTTCAACAAAATTTGTTTTTATTTTATCTTAAAAATGGAACCAACCTATTTTTTTAGATTTTTTGGTGCCGATTTGAAGTGCATTTACAAAATTTTTCAAGCACGTCCAGTTTTTGAGAAAAAACCTGACTGAAATGACGAAAAATGGCAAATTTCAAAAAAAAAAATTTAAATAGAGTTAGGATGTAGATTTTCCGAAGAAAAGCACCACGTATTAATGAAAACCCAATTCGTTGGATGGATTCTACGTCATGTCGATGAGTTCATTAGATATTAGTGAAAATTAAAAAAAAAAATTGTTGAACCGTGTTTTTTATTTTAAGATCATTGCAAAGTTTTTTTTGTGATTTTTATTTTTCGATAAAAAATAATCGTTATTTTGGATTTTTTTTGAGAATTTTTAACCGTTGTAATGAAGACTATGTTGTTATGACCTTTTTGGAATCTTTGTCCAAAAAATTGGATTTGAAAATAACTATCAAAAATTTATCGAAAAAAATTAAAATTAGAAATCATAAAGGACCGGTTAAACTTGATCGGAAAAACGGATAAATTATGGTCTTTATTATAAAGATCATAACCGTTACGGCCACTGGTTTTAATAGTAATGCTCCTTTCTCTCAGCTATTTGTAGGGACGTGCAAAAAGAAAAACGAATGTACAGTAAAACTCTCCTAATTACTTCAACCAAAAATGCTATCTTTCGGTTTAAGCAGGTTTTACTGTTTATAAACCATTTAAAGTAAAAACAGAATATTTTTTTTTTTTTTTTTAAGGAGAGAAAGCTGGTACGGGTGCAGCAGGCCTCCGTTACCGAAATTAATGGATAACTTGGGACCACTCCCACTCTCGCACTTAACGGCATGCTTAACATACTGTCCGTTGACATAGTAGGCAAGGCTGCAACGGTAAGAACTGCGTACACTTGGAGGCGGGCGCTACTTAATAGGCTCAGGATCTGGAGTTCTAGTATTCTTGGAAATTTTGGTCTTATTATTGTTAACACGGATCCCTGCGTGGGTAGACTGCTACCAATGACCACTTTCTTAACTTTTTCCAATGAATGAATGTACGGGAATTGAAGTTGAAGGGAGGCACACAATTCCGGTCATTTTAAACTAAACAGAACCTGATAATCTAAAAACTGGACACACATTTTTGTTAATTTAAGAAGTGGCGTAGACAAACAGATATAATCTTTTGTCTTAGAAAGATGGATAAAATGGATAAAAAATGCGAATGGTAAAAAGTTGACAAGTATTTAAAACTGTACAATAAGTAGCCAGGCAGAGTGATAGCTTCGGAATTTTGATCTTTGGGGGTAAGAATTCCCCTCAAAACATTGGCAAAACCAAGTCCCTATAGAGAAGGTCGAAACCTAGAAAAGGTCGATACCGGTGGAGGAAAGGCGAATGTCCGAAAGAAAAATTATTTCTTGTCATCATATAAACAGTCAGCGCATTCGAATCAATGAATACCTGGTCTAAACCCTCTCTAGCTAAATTCACAGACTAGGTACTTGGCACCCAAAATAAAAGCAAGTTCGTTATGTTTCCCAACATAATTTAGCACAGACTTGTATTGCCAAACTAGTTTGGAAGTAGTTGCAAGCCTGGTTACTGGGGATATGTAAACTACCACCTCTCCACCTATTACCCACCTCATAGTTCTTCACCTTGAGGATTGCAAACAATTCGGCTTAAAATACCAGGCACATTCTTGAAGAAAGAAGTGAATATGGACCCTGTACTCTGGGCCTGTTTTGGAGCCATCAGTAAAGTTCCAGCCTCTGGGAACTCAACATTGTAGTATCTCTTCAGGAAAGACAATGGTGGCATACTAACCTGTGACATTGAAAAGAACTTTTAGATCACTGCCTCCAGCAATTTCCGCCTTACTCCACACCGAACCATTGTTTAAACCTACAAGTGGCCTTACGAGCCTGCTATGGTGAGAACATACAATTAAAGTGTAGCGTTCTGATAGCTAATTGATCCATTTCTTTCAATTACTTTTTTTAAATAAATGCTTCTTTCTCTATTTATTTCAAGAATCAGTCGATATTATTACAAGTTTTCTGGTAAAAATTATACCTACGTAATTGGTAAAACAATACATTCATTACACACAATCAAATTGGAAACAAATAAAAAGTGAAAACTGTTAAATTATTCCGCAGTTAGTTTGTCTGTTGCCGCATTCACAATGGCAATTGAGTAAGTGCCACATTATTATAACACAACAATAAAGTTGACAATTTACACAAGACTGAGAGTTACGCATGCGCAACATTAGACGCGGTTTGGCCTGTACCACAAGTATGTACTTGACTACCTGACTGACGGTCTGTATATACCTGTCTCGGCACATTTGCCGCACACATGTGTTTAGACGAGTATGCGCGCCTGCGTTTAAATCATTTGGCAGAAGACCAATGTACGCCATCTATCGATAATTTATGCTTATCACAGCTAATTATGTATATTTTTTTTTTCGCAGCACCGGTAGCAGTTAGTAATCAACAACAACAAAGTGCATCCAAGAAATTCCTGTGCATGCTAGTTGTCGTCGTTTTGTCTTTTGCGCCGATTGACTCTTTGGTGCATACATTTTGTTTTTTTTTTATAGAAATGGGGGAAAAAATCGAAAATCAATCGAGACCATTCGTTGCGATTAGCTGACATTGTGAAGTGGTAGTAAGTTCAGGTTGTTGGCCAGTTTGTTAAATCATAGGAAAAATTATAAAACAAAGCTTTAGCCAATTAAAACGCAATAAATGTAATTTTTTAAGCGCTGCCTTGAATAAATATACATACATATATATGTAGTTGTTTAATAAATCCATTTTATATAGTAAGCACTTATATGTTGTGTTGTTGTAAATATATATTTATATTACATGTACTCACTGTTTGCTACCAAAGAAGCCGGGATGTGGTGATGAATAGGCCAGCGCTAGGAGGGCACTGAAGATCACCTGGAAGAAGAAGAAAATCGTATTACATTAAACGATCAATTATTGTATATATACATATATATCCATAGGGTTCTCGAAAATGGCTCTAACGATTTTGATCAAATTTTGTACACCGATACTGTTTTGGATTTTAAAGTTATTTGATTAGGCATTATCTCCAAGAAGGCTCGTATAAGGTTGCCACCTATCCGAAATTAGTTACAAATTAATTAAAGCATCATAATATTGGTACCAAATGAAAGGTATTTTAATGATTTCTAATTCAAAAATATTTTTTATAAGGTTGCCACCTATTTTTAATCGCAAATTTATTTAATTTTTTGTTTAGAAAAAAAGTTAAATTTTACTATTCATGCGTACCAAGAGAAGGTTCTTAAACAATGCTTTCCCTATATACAAAATGTTATCTCTTAGGATAATAGTCTAGGGTTGCCACTTATTTTCGATTCTACAAAATTTATCTAAACCATCGCAGTATGGATATCAAATGAAAGGTATTGTTGAGAACTTTGGTCCGAAAATATTTTCGATCAGGCTTGCCACGCTGCTATTAATTAAAATTTTTTATTTTGTTAATTTCAATCAGCATTTTTTATGTGTACACAGTACATGTACGCTCAAAATATGTACTATTCAATCGAGCGTATTTCCGAATAGGGTTGCCACCTAAATTTTAGAGTAAGAAATTTACTTAATAGATATCTAAATCCATAAAGCCATAAGTACTTAAGTCGACTTAAGAAACAATTGAATATTTAAAAAATTATAAATGGACATATTTTCGTTTCCTTATAAGGCTACCATTGCAATAAAAATGTTTAAAACGTTTTTTCTGTCGAATTCAGGTTTTTCACTTAAGCGCTTATTGCTTTTGATATCCTACCAGAATTTGCGCGCCGATAAGCTTATGCCCATACATGGCAATAGATAGTGTCCCCCGTCCTACGCCGTAAAAAGCTTCTGTGTCGATAGAGAGAGTTTTCTTTCACTGTCAATAGGACCCAGTACCCGGAGAACTCAAGCATTATTGGCTAGACCGAGAATGTTTAGCTTATTAAGTCGCACTTTAGATTTGATCGCCTTAATCACAGCTCAACTAGATCAAGATTGTAATGTTCCGGTTTCGATATTTCCGCTTGGTGTACATAGAAGTTTGCTGTACCTGGAAGATAGACAAATGTGCCTGGAAGATAGACAAATGTGTTCGCATAGTTTCTGGGTATCTTAGTCTCGGCTTGTTTTCAACATCTTATCGACCGGTTCGGTCAAAGGAACTGGCGTCCAATGTATAACCTCCTCAGAAGCTCAAAGATAATAAACATGGGCAACACCATTTGTCTACTGACTGGGTTCGGAAACTATTGGAAGAGGGCCCAAATGTTTATAGAAAATTCATCTTACGTGACGAGATGGACTTTTGAATGAATAGTTATCTTTATCAGCTTATTTCTCATATTGGGGCGATTCTAATGCACACAAGGCCAACCATATATAAATGCATTCACAAAAAGCTAGATTGATTTCTGAGCCACAATAAATGTTTTCCATTATTTTTGTTTCTAGGAAAAGTACTTTGCGGTTGCTGCAAATTTTCTTGAAGAAATAAATATACGAGCATTTTTTTCTTAAGAGCTGCATACTTTTTTAAGAAATTTTGATAGAAGAAAATATCTTTTACATTTCTTGTGCGTAATTTTATTGAATTTTTAGTTTTTCTTGTGAGCTACAGACAGGCCTTTTTAGTTTAGGGTCGCAAGGAAGGGTTAACCAGAGCTGTCAACTTACTCATACTTGCGATGCAGAAAGAGGTGTATATCCGTCCGGTTATTCGTATACGGATGAAATCCGTTTAGTATCCATTCTCTTTTCTAATCCGGATATCCGGACATCCGGTTAGTATTCTATTATTCGCATTTTTCAATCAGATATTCGATTAATCCGTATAGAAATTTCAGACCCAGGGAGCATCTTGGATCGATAAATATAAATTAAATTTTAATTATTAAATTATGTTTTTTTAATTATCTTAAAAATATGTATGTACGATCCTTCTATTGTTGTTATGGTTTTGAAGGTGCGTACTATTTTTAGGCTTATTTTTTAGCATAAAAATCCAAGCTCTAAACATAACGATTACTGTCCTTGCAGTTATAATCAGAAATGGAGGAAATTAAATCCAAAATAACAATCCGTCTTGAGTGAAAAAATAAATATCTCAAAGTAAAGATTGTATTGTATGTATATAATATGGAGAATATAAATCTTCGAAAATAAAGATATGTTGTTTTCGGTCCCTGATAGCTCTGGTGTCTTATGTTAAATTGTAAATATTTAATTCGACGAAAAATAAAAATTTCCTTAAGATAACACCGAAGAGTTGATAAAATAAAACTTAAAATAGAAAAGGAGTACAGCATCTGCGCTCGTAGGAACGTGAGGATCTGTATGGAGCCTTAGATTGGTCAGGCTCTTGGATTATGCTTTTGCTTGCTCGATAGTTAATCAGCTTCAATGCCGTCTTTGCTTTGAGTACGAGACATACATAGGATCAACGTATTTTAATTCGTCTATAATAGGTTTCTTAAGTAAAAAGAAATCGTCTACAAAGATAATTTTAGCAAGTGGGAGGGCTGTGAGGGTGAGAAAATTCATCAAAAGATCTTCTAGGTCGCAGTGTCCCTACAACCTGCTACACACAAATGCTTAACTAACTAAAGTTTTCTGATATTTCGGATTTAGGTGCCCACGCTGACACATACAGTTTGTAGCTGAATAAAGTGCTGAATGCTTGATGTGGAGTTCTAGCTTAAGTACACTTTAAGTTGTTTTAGAATTTTTCGTTAGAGTTTTCAATTGTTATACAGTTGATGAGAAAATTCCTCCCCATCAAATGCGAAAGGCCCTAATGACACTTAATTTTGAATACATTTTACTTTATTATTGGTGACCATATTATTAAAAAAAAAAAATAGCAATTAGTGCGAAAACATACATAGTACATTTATAGTATTTATCATAAAATTTCTTCCATCTTTCTTTAGAAAATATGTAATTTCCACATTAAAGCAACATTTTGCTCTTAAGAGAAACTTTTAAATGGATTAATGGTATAAAAATCCGCATTTTCCTTTAAATTTTGTCATCTTCTTCAGTAAATTGTTCCAATTTCCAACACTTCACTTCTCATAAAAATCCCAGTTGCTTCTGGGTAAGCGATTAACCTATTTCTTCACTTCAAAGTTGAGCCAATCCACTTTCGTCATATACAGCATACTAGGTATATATGTATGTATGTATGTATACCTATACACAAATGTTTTCATTTATCTATTTCGTACACATAATGCCTCTGGGTTTTTTCCAAATCACTTTAAAAAATAATACAAATATCCACTTTCAAATTCCTTTCATCGATTGCACAATAAATGAATGGTTCACAAGACACATTTGTCTATACAAAATTTACGGCTCCTCTAATTCCTTGCCACAGGCCACTTTATGTATGTAAACAAACAAACCACTATGTTGTAATGCAGACACTGCGAATTTTATAAGTGCACTTACTAAAACTTTGAGGGCGGTCATATTGGGGCTGCGATAAGCGACAAAAGCGTTTTGGTTGTAAAGTTGTAAGATCCAGTAACCTGTAACCGGCGTTGTAAAGTGTACAGCGACTAAAATGAACTGATAACCGAGCAGTGGGGCTGTGATGTTTTTATATGTTGCGCGCATGCGCACCGCTGTCGAAAAAAAAACATACCGATCCACAAACGTACAAATATGTCTGCTCGTGCATGTGTATGTGCTGTATAAAACTGCCGCAAATGCAGAGGCAGAGGCAACGACAGTGGTGGCTATTATTATTAGTGACTGCAATTCTTAAATTTTTTTCTCTTTTTTTCCGCCCCAGCCGACTTTAATTTGTTCGTTGTGCTAATGTACATATGTATGTGTGTATGTTGGTAGCAGCTGCTGTCAGCGCTTAGCTTGTTGGTCTCTACTAAATACATGGCTCAATTGCAAATGTTGAGCAAAAATTTTCAATTCAGAGCAAGCAGACCTCCCATCAATGCAGCAATAAAATAACAGCAACTATCACATAAACGCGAATTTAAAACAATACAATGAAGACGAAGCAGAAGCAGAAGCAGAAGCCGAAACAGGAGTAGTGTCGCATAAAAATTGGAGACCTGTCTGCGCAATTGCAGCTGAAGAGACAATTGTTACTCGATTTTATTTTTTTTTATAATTAAATCTCATTATCTTTTCATTTTGCACTGACTGCCAAAACATTCGTACTTATTTATGTGTGTATGTGTATACACTTTTGCGTGCTATGTATGCATCCGACGCTGCTCATGCGCACGTGATATCTGCGATGTGCAATGCTCACTACCAGCGCTGCCTAGTCGCTGTTTGCTGTTGGCAAATGTTAAGTCGCTCAACAGGTTCACTGTTAACAAAAATTTTCATCAACTGTTAGCCGCGTTCAACTGGCAGCTGCTGTTAATCTTGGCTTGCTGGCGCCCCTGGGCGGAAACATGGCAGATGACTCAATTGTAGTTAATTTTTTATTGTTGCCAAATTTGCCTAACCAAGGTTAACCTTGAGGTGAACCTGCTATGGACTGAATTAACACATATACACATAAATACACTTATACATTCACAAATGTATGTTTGTAATTATTATAAACGACTGTAAAAGCAAGTGAATTCAACAAAGTTTCCATTTGAAAACAAATTTTCATTGTTTTCTCATCTTCGCTGTTGCTTTTCTGTTCATTTGTTATTTGTTTTTTTTTTTTTTTTTGGTTTAGTCAAAGCTTTCTTTGCTTTGGGCAGCGTTGACCCACACATTGTTGTTGCGCTGCTTGCTATTATTACATATTTTTTTTTTAATCATGTTGTAAACATAATTTTTATATCCAGCAGCTATATTTGTTATTGCCGCATCAGCACACATTTCGCTATTTGGAAATTAATTTATGTCTTCAGCTGAACTTTGGCTATTGTGATCTACAATGCAATATAAACAGACAAGATACATTTTACACTTACATACATATGTATGTATGTACATATATGTCGAGTATACATTGCGTATACGTAATCGACATTTGTAATAAAAAAAGTGTCGACGCTACGCCCAAAAAAATGTTGGTCCACTCGTATTGAAATTTGACTACCACACACACACACACACACACACGCGCAATAGCAATTATCAGAGGAAGTTATATCTGTGATCATAAGCAATAACCGCCTAAGTCGAAAAAGTTGAATTCGAGAAAAAACGTGCTAAACATTTGGATTGTAATGTTAACCTTATGGGGAAACCAAAATATGTTCGTCTATGTATAACTTTATAAATAGCCTAGCTGGCGAGATGGGGGATTTCACACATACACATGAAATAGTAGTTGCAGAATATGGTCGCATATATAACTCAATTCTTTCTTAAGCCGACTTAGGTGGTTATTGCTTATGACCATAGATACATATATATTTATAGGTACCTATGTTGAAACACATAAAATACTTGGCTTAATGAATGCGGAATTGCAATTTTTTTATAGGCTCGTTTATAACTGGCCGCAAAAGAAAAACAACATTGCTAAATTGATGACTATTTGATTGTATTGAGGTAATTTTGCGAACATTTTAATTACAAATCAGATAAGTTGTATAAAAGTGCAATAAAAGCTCTATGAAAGTATATCTAAATCAATAGCATCAGTTTAAACGATCTGCCAAAGTCGCCAAAGGGCTGCCCGTATAGGCTCTTAGCAACAATGTTGCACAAGCATAGCGGCAACAAATGAGTCTTAACAATTTCGTAACGTCCTTTCTAAGATCATGTTGATGGCTCATGTTCCTGAATGTAGTCACAAAAATCCTTAGAAATTCCCGATATGGACACACTTTCCAGGCTGCACTGCTAAGATTGGTACTCATACAGCAACTCAAATCCATGAACATCGAACGAACGAACATGCTAAAAACAAGGGAGATCAGTATGGAGTTGGGAATCACGACAGAATCCCTTAAACAAGGGCTTGCCCTCAAGGCGGTGTACTCTCTGCACTATTGTGGACTATGGCTATAGACTAACTAATTTTCCTACCGAATGGCCATGGCATTAAAACGAAACGCTATGCAGGCGATTTGGTGTTCTTCGTAACANAGAGATTAATGTAATAGAGATTTGTACTACAAAATGCTTCAGAAGAAGTTTCCGCTTCAGCTCTGGTTTTTACTCAGTTGCGAATACCGAGCGTGAACTGGGCATAATACATAATTTAAGGAAATGACCATTAGGGTGGATCAATTTGTATGGGAGACTTTTTCAACTATGCCCCTATGGCACAAAAGGATACTACGTGTAATTCTAAGCAAATTTGCTGAAGGAACCATGGGTCCTAAATCAATTTGGAGTTTGCCAACGTTCGAAAATAGGTTTCTTAGCATTTTGCTGTAGTGTTGTAAAAAGATGCTAAAATTTTAAAGCAAAATATGCTATAAGGGGTTTTTTAGTATAATGAATCTATTTCTGCATTTATCTTTTCCTTAAAACTTCAACCAGAGGGCACTGCAGTGAAAGTTTTCACATTTTCTTCTAAGCAACTTTTCCCAATTTGGCTAACTTCAAATTGATTTTGGGCCCATAGTTTCTTCAGCAGATTTACTTAGAATTCCAAGTAGAATCCTCTTACGCTATACGCGCATAGTCATACAAAAAGATTATAATTTTCGATTTTTGCATAAATAACTTTGTCGATGTTGCGTGTGTCGCTTCATATTTTTACCGTATGACAATTTGTTGCAACAGCACAGTTTTGTAAATCACTTAAGTTCACAGTCACTTAAGGTTCAACGTGCTCGACAATGTTATGTATCTGTTAAAGTAACAAAGAAGTGTACCGAAAATGTTGGCCATCATGTAAATTGACGACATTTAACAGTTGGTTTATGTCCTCTAATCAAATCATTAATCTTGACATAAATAAAATTGTTTGTTTTTTTTTGTCCCACGTCAATGGACACAGTGGCTAATATAAAATGAATGCGGCAATAATGTATGTATGCACACATCTGCTTCATTGTTTGAACCAAAAAAATAAAATCATAAAAACCAATGTCAAATATTGTAACAAACATTGCAGTGGAGGAGAAGATATGAAAGACATAACCCCAAATGCGTACATCGTATACAAAAAATTTGAGCGAATTAAGTCATTTATTACGTTAAACGGCAATTTTTTTGTCTACCAAAATTGCGGCGATTACTTAATCAATTCAATGAGAAGTGAAAACAATAAAAAAAAAACCGTATGCAATACTCAATAGATACTCTGCATAGAAGGCGAAAAGAAACGAAACGAAAAATCCCCGCAATTATGGCAATTGAAATGTTTCGCACGCATGTCAACGCTGGTTAGCAAGTAGAGCAAATGTGCCCATAGGCTAAATATATACACATAAATATGTACATAAGTATGCTATATATTATTCAAAAACATCTATGCAATATAAAAAATAACTATTTCGGCCTGTGGCTGCCCTAAGCCGCCGCGTGGAGTGTTGACAGTTCACTGCGGGAGCGGACTTTATCGGTGATGTTGAGCCTGATTAAGCTGTCAACGTGCAAGAAAATCTATTAGTTAAGTTACAATTATGAACCACTTATGCATACGTACATACGTATGTATGTATGTAAGCATTTATATTGCAACATGTTGAAGTTGAATTTGGTTGAGTAATATTACACGCAGATAGAACTGATAGCCGGCTTAAACAATTTCGTAAACTAATCAAGATAATTATTAACTAAGCAATTTTATCTTAATTTGTAAGTGGTTGCCTTTTTATCGCCGATTTAAGTTTTTTTTTAATTATTGTTTAATATTTTTACTAATTGTTTTGTGCATATCTTACGGCATTTACCAAACATTTAATTGCTCTAACCGTGATAGCAAATCGCGGCCGCATGCAAAATGTGAAACACGAAAAAAATCTAAAATGCCACCAACAAAAATATGCTAACCAAAAATTTTGTGTTGCAACATTTATGAAAATTGGCTTCTAAATGCTACCGCATACGCAGCCAGTCACTTACGACAATTTGTTGCAGCCGTAATTACAGTTGGCCTGTCAACACAACATACATACATAAATAAATGCTGCTAGACTAGCCATGCAACAAGTTTTATTTAAAAAACAAACAAACAAAAAATATGATGTAGGAGATCACCATTTAGCAACCGCATTAGTATGAGTACCTACTTAAATTTACGACAATGCGGCAAATTTAATTTCTATTGCTAATACCAATATTTACACAGTTAAACACACAAATATTCTTACGTATTTGCATACAATTACATACAATTATGCACACAAAATTTTCTTAAGACCAATAAACTTTACGTACCAATTACTTTGTTAAAAAACTAACAAAATCGACACTTTTGCGCTGTTATTAACATTCAAGCGACCGTTAAGTCTTTAGTCGTATTTTGTGCATAAACCATAAGTCACGTAGAGTATAGTGTACCGTATCACCTTACAAGTAATAAAAAAAAAAAACAAAAACGAGAAAAGTTCTTTGTCGAATCTAGGGGTTGTCTTTTTACATTTTTCGGTGACACCTACGTTT